TATATTACTTAATGTTTACGTGTAACTAGATACCCCTGTTACACAGCAACTGTCAACTTCGCACTATATCACGACACATTTTACGCTATAAGCGACACACGCTGCAAGCATTAAGAGCGCTGTAGTAAATACATGAATACATACATTCAAAGCGATCGTGTGTAAGGAAGGTCTACACCCTTCAACGCGACTACTGTACAACAATTTCAGTAAGGCTCATAGCAGAAGCATGAATACAAGATAAGATGCTGTATTCTCGTACGATATTAGCTACTACCTGTACACCGACAGACTTCTCCTCACTTAAAAGGGTACGCTTCTTTCAGGGTGGTCTGAAAGTTGTTTTCATTGATGGGCATCTGCCTGTTGCCCCAGCTCATTTGATTTAAAGCACAACGAGCCTCGTCCGTAAGCTGTTGCCACAAGATCAGGTCCTGAAAGCCACCTTTAAGGTCAGTGGTGTTAAGTTGGTATCCAACGCTGTCCCAATCATTCGGGAGGATATACCTGACTTTTACATGGGTGCCATCCACTGTGGTTTCATTTGGAGGAGAGTATTTCGTGAATCTGCGATTAGGAGACGACACCGACACAGCTAAGATGTTCGGGGATACCTTGTCGTAATTATCGAGCCACAAGACACAGTTTGCCAGCCGTGAAGTGCAAAATCAGAATATTGGCTTGGGAAGTACCATGTGTATGCCATAGCATACCTATTGTTGTACCAGGTTGCACGGCCGTAAATTTGAGATCCATGTTGATTTCCCTTGCAGTAGTTGACGGATTTACTAGCCTCAAAAAAATCTTCGACATAACTACCATCTTTGCTCACTGCAGGATACGGGACGCATCCATCGTAACTAATGTTGAGCATCGGTTTGAATTTGATGGCAGCCTTTTCACTGATTGTATTGGCGGGAGGCTGGGGAAACGGTCGTATGTCGTCGGGATCGACCTCTTTCAAATTTGGGCACATAAAGTAACGACCTTCCTGGGCCGTTACTTGATCTACAACCGTAGCAATTCCGGCCAGAGCGACACACAGGAAGCCCGCAATCTTCATGAGGTGGGATTTTTTTTCCTATTGACTCTTGTCCAGGATGAAAAAAGAATCATGGGATGGAGCAAAGCTGGAAAGGTGATGTTGCCACGAATTCAAGAGGAAGGGTACCTGCATCACTAAAGTTGTTTTTAGTGTAGCTTATACAATAGCATTTACAGCCAGATTTGCTCTTTATATCAAGATTATCTTTATACAAAGAACAAGTTTATCGTAAAGGCCGTGCAGTAACAATTAGCGAATGGTGTGCTGCAACCTAACGCAAGATGGCAAGAGTCTATTAGTTGGGCTTAGCACGTTGTCATGAAGATATATGAGCTTGAGCACATGCTTGATCACTTTATCGATAGGTAATCCCGTTTCTTCACCCTTAGATGTTATCCACCCATCTTGCAATTCAGTCGCGATTTATACGTAAAGTCAGATTCAGCAACACGCAGGAAGACGACGCGTTGTCCTCCAAATCGTACTCCTCGCTTGCTGCGCAGAGCTCGATAGTCCTTCGAGAAGCTCATGATTGACCAAATGATAGCAAAAGAAAACAAGTAGCATATGGATTGAATGAAATGAAAGCAAACACGATGATTTATGGTAGGACTGCTGCCGTTATGAGCTGCCTGTAAGAATAAGAAGATACCGTGAATGTAGACGTGCTATTGTCTTTACCTGATTCCTAACAATACTTTCGTCTCTTCCCTACAAGTCATCTCCGTCCAGATTCTACGCTACCATCCGAAGAAAGAACTGCTGTAATACTGGAATGGTCGACAATAGTACAGGTTTCTCATCTTTCGGCTACCGCTCCTTTACCATGACCTTGACTAAAGCTGCATTAGTGAACGTCTGGTTCGCTCGTAGAGTCGTCAGGAGAGCAAGTAGTATACCGCCGCCTTAATATCGGAGTCGAACTGACATCTGTAAGGAGGCAAGTATAGAGTGGTACACGAACAAGTGGCCTGCAGCCCAAAAGATTAGCTTCATGGTAAAGGTCTTGTTCTTGTGAAATAAATTGTCTGTCAACAATTTGACGATGTCCGGACTTTGTCAGGAATGATGGCGCCCGCTGGTAAGCGAGGCATGACATCACATTGCAGAACCTGCATCTTCATATTTTTACCAATGCAAATAAATGCTCGCGTACGATTCGCAATTGCTGTACGGATTATAACATTCGTTAATTGTTGATGCACGGCCTTTGCGATAAACTCGTTCTTTAGATAGAAAGCGAATCTTGGTATAGAGTCGTAAAGGCTACTTACTACACTAAAGACACGCTTTGGTGATGCACCATTACCTTCTTGGGGACATCGCCTTTCCAGCTTTGCTCCATCCCATGATTCTTTTTTCATCCTGGACAAAAGTCAATAGGAAAAAAAATTCCCACCTCATGAAGATCGCTGGCTTCCTGTGTCTGTCGCTCTGGCCGGAATCGCTACGGTTGTAGATCAAGTAACGGCCCAGGAAGGTGGTTTTGCTGTATCGTTGAACTCATGCCAGAGTTTGAAGAAGGTCGATCCCGACGACATACGACCGTTTCCCCAGCCTCCCGCCAATACAATCAGTGAAAAGGCTGCCATCAAATTCAAACCGATGCTCAACATTAGTTACGATGGGTGCGTCCCGTATCCTGCAGTGAGCAAAGATGGTAGTTATGTCGAAGATTTTTTTGAGGCTAGTAAATCCGTCAACTACTGCAAGGGAAATCAACATGGATCTCAAATTTACGGCCGTGCAACCTGGTACAACAATAGGTATGCTATGGCATACACATGGTACTTCCCAAGCCAATATTCTGATTTTGCACTTCACGGCTGGCAAACTGTGTCTTGTGGCTCGATAATTACGACAAGGTATCCCCGAACATCTTAGCTGTGTCGGTGTCGTCTCCTAATCGCAGATTCACGAAATACTCTCCTCCAAATGAAACCACAGTGGATGGCACCCATGTAAAAGTCAGGTATATCCTCCCGAATGATTGGGACAGCGTTGGATACCAACTTAACACCACTGACCTTAAAGGTGGCTTTCAGGACCTGATCTTGTGGCAACAGCTTACGGACGAGGCTCGTTGTGCTTTAAATCAAATGAGCTGGGGCAACAGGCAGATGCCCATCAATGAAAACAACTTTCAGACCACCCTGAAAGAAGCGTACCCTTTTAAGTGAGGAGAAGTCTGTCGGTGTACAGGTAGTAGCTAATATCGTACGAGAATACAGCATCTTATCTTGTATTCATGCTTCTGCTATGAGCCTTACTGAAATTGTTGTACAGTAGTCGCGTTGAAGGGTGTAGACCTTCCTTACACACGATCGCTTTGAATGTATGTATTCATGTATTTACTACAGCGCTCTTAATGCTTGCAGCGTGTGTCGCTTATAGCGTAAAATGTGTCGTGATATAGTGCGAAGTTGAAAGTTGCTGGATGACAAGTACTTGCAACGGCATCAGCGAGAACAGACGAAGCCGTATAAGCCTCAAAATGACCAGACTTGCGGCGCGAATTCTCGTCGAGATACCTCGTTGCTTTTTCTATCACGACAGCATCGAGAAGAAGTGGCAGGCTGAAGGTGTTAAAACTCCGGCATGAATCATCAAACGAATCATCAAATCAACGACGATCAAGACATGCAAGGCCAAATCCAAAGAGCGTACAGGTATTCGGCTCACTCGACTACGAAGACATCGCAGATCTGGAACGCCGTAAATTTGATGGCCTACGAGGATTCATAACATGAGAAGGCAAACGATTTCATTCAACGTTTAATACTAGCAAGGTCTCTGGTAGATCCTAAGCCTGAACAGCAACGCCGTTTCCTCGCTCGAGTCTAATGGTAGTACGAAAATGATCACCTTCAGCGACGGCTATCCTGGTTGTCTGGCTATTGTGCGTTGACAGATGATTAGACGGATACCTTTAGCTTTCATTTTGACTCACCGGCACTCTTGCTTCGCTACAGCTCGAAGTTGACTCATCCTAGTTTCCTAGAATTCCTTT